ACATTACCATATCGTCTGAAAAGTGGTGCTTCCCTATTGAAAAGATACTGAAAAAAAGAGCAATATGTATCTGAGAATTTTTCAGATATTAGGTGACATGCTATAAGTTCTTATTTACTCAAGATTTACTTAGCGATTTTGTCATGAAAACTATAAATTTTTACACATGTAAAAAACAAATAATACCAACTAACAATATGATCAAAACGTGACAGTGAAATGTGTTAAATGAAAAAAGAAAAAAAAAGCAAAACTTAGTCTAAATCGTTAATTCACAGCCTTATAATATTTGTTTTTCTTGCTGGTGCAAAACAACCAGTGAATTTTTCAAAACTTGCATAAGTAACTTATGAAAGTCAAATTGTAATTTTTTATTATGCAAGATAATAGAAGCCATCAACATTGAGGTTTTAAAAGTTCCATTATTTATCCTTTGATTATAAGACATGACAAGCATAAATACCCATGGATCTTAAAATTATTTATCATCTCTATATAACCATAAGAAAGTAAAAGAGAGATAAAAAGTTAAGATAAGAATATTGTACTAATATCTTAATGCATGAATTATGAATGTTCAACATAGGAAAACTAATAACGTGTTGGGTATGTAGCAAGAATTGATGGGAAAGAGAGGGAAGGAGAGGAATTTGAAAAGTTTAGAACTTGAAAGGTTGGGAACTTGAAAAATCCTCTAATGCTTTAATAAAAAAGGCAATAGTCCCTCATCGGTAATGGAAATGAAAATAGGAGAGTTAAAATAAATAAACACTCCTATTAATTATTAAAAGGGGTGGAAAGAGGGACCCCCTCGCGCCGTCGTCGTCGCTCGCTACGGCTTTGGCAACTTTTTAGTTAACCCGACCCGACTCGAATCCGCGCGCGTGACCCGTTTTAAATTCCGTTATATTTAAAAATTCTGAAAGGTTGCAACTTTCAGGAACAGTCAATACTCAGAATATTTACTATTTTTGGTATCTATACTCTACCGATTAAGATCATTTTACCCTGGGAGGTTATATTCCAAATCAAACCTCGGATACTAGAGGGGAATAATTTCCTTAATTTTCTTCCTAAATTATCAAAAAGAGTATTCATGATTTT